TATGCACCATTTGGATCCTAAATGTTTCTCAAAAATATTCTTCCAATAAAGAATTCATCTAAATTAAATAAATTTAAAAATTGAATAGCTTTTTTTAATATTAATTAACTAATAAATATTAATGTTTCTTATAGCCATTTTAAAACGATTTTCTTGTTTGTAAATGTGTTTTGCGTCCCGCTTAGTTCCCTAACCTATGGAGTTTGATGTTTTTGACAAGCTTAGTGAATTGGAAACTAAAGTCCAATATCTGCGGAGTGAAATTGAATCTAAAAATTCTAGAATTTCCGATTTAGAGAAAGAAAATAAAGAACTTCGCAGGAGTATTCTTAATGGGGATATAAGTTCCAATCTCAGTATAAAAGATGTCTCCTCACAAGAAGCACCTCCTGGGACCTTAATCGATCTAGAATCAAAATCAGACTTACTTGACCTCGCTAGTGGTATAAGTTCTTATGACTATGGCTATGTGTTTAGGGAAATCAATCGCGGAGGCATTAAAAGAGACATCAGAAACCGTAACGCAATGTACTGGCTATGTATATGATTCAAAGACTGGCTTATACTACGATCAAATTAGCGGTTATTATTACGACCCAGTATGCTTCTGTTTGTGACCTTATTTTCTTCAGGAGAACCAGTTGTTCTATGAGCCAAGGACTGGTGTATACTACAGTTATAATTCTGAAACAAGGGAATATAGCTACCACTCTCGAGTTAATCAAGAAGTCCTCAAGCAAAAGTATGAGGAAATTGCATCCGATCCTGCAGTCCAGCATGCTGTCAAGGTGCGTCAGAATCGCTATCTTATCATTTTGGGGTTAATCTTTATTCTTTGGTTTGCATGGGTTCGAATTTGTGGATCCTTTCTTCTTAATTGTTTCAGGTCAGTTGATAACTCTTACACATAGCCAGTTGTGCTCAATTGTAAGCAACTTTGAGAGGCAGACATGGAGACACGACACCTGCAGCCCTGCAGGCCAGGCTCAACTGTTGTGGTAGCCATCTAACCACTTGTTCGTTTTCTGTTTTTCTTCTTTCCCACGACGGCTATGGATTTCACTTGGACTCCTGGCTGTTATTTATCAGAAATCGAAACTAAGCCCAGACAGGCACAAATATTCTCCCCGAAGTCGAAGTCGCTCCAGATCCTCATCGCGAGGTCATCGAAGGCGTCATTCTTCTCGGGACTCCGGGCGTTATAAAAATAAGAGTGACAAAAAACGGAGATCTCATCGATCTCGGTCCAGGTCTTCATCTCGTTCCAAGTCATTCCGTCGTCGGCGACTCTCTGAAAGTGGCAAGTTCTTTTACTTTTTTTGGTGGAGAGTTAAGAAAGCCAAAGGCCTTGCTTTTGCCTCTTGGTTGATACTATTCTCCTAAATCGTATCGTCTGAGCTCTCTTGAATGCCAAGTTTGTTCGAGTTGCTACCCAGACTTATAGCC